AAGAATTTGCGTACCTATGTCAGCTTGATAACTTGACACGTTCAAAAAATAAGCTTCTAAAAAGCACGCCACTCTATGTAGGCCCCGGTTTTTCAATTGCAGGTTAACTAATTGCTATCCACAAAACGCGGTTTTTAATGCTTGACAGTGACGTGTGTTGGCACAGATAACACGAGACTCAAACGTCGAGCGTCATAAAACGTACAGAACATGATAGTTCAGAAATAGAACCAACGTTGCCAGATTAACGGTTTAGTCAAAACTTGAAACACGAATGTATGGGCAACTAAAAGTTATAGTTACTAAGCTTGACAGTTAACCAGCGATCGAAAACGTGGCGCTCATAGTACATTCTTTTTCAGGTTGTTGAGATTTTTAGATGTTTTTTCCAGATTTTGAATTTCCTAAGACATATATTCAACCACCCATATGCTGTAAAAAAAATCTCTATCTGCCCCTGTCGGAGGCTGAAAAATGCATGCAGTATGCGCAGTTCTGCTGTGAACTGATCTGTTGTAACTGACAGCCAACAGTATTCCCCTCCAGACAAAATCTGAAAAAGCACGTTGCTATGGGCCACATTGTACATTATATCTAAGATACGATACGGCACTTACACGCTCAAAGCTATATACATCTTTGTACAAACTGAACTACTATACAAACCTTACATATGTACTGGATAAACGCGTCCTCCAAAGAGATAAATAATGGGTGAAATAATCTCAACCAAGCGACAAAACAAAGAAACGATAAAATAAATAACCAAGAACACGTAACATAATGAATAGGGGAGGAAACAATAAAACAATACACGATAATAAAAGACCACACTGACAAAGAACGGAACCAAAACGATAGGATAGAGGGTGGGAGGTGTTCGAGATTACAAGTCGAATGAGGTTAAAAACATTAGAGACATTTCCAATCTCATACTGTTCGTAAAGTCATAGAATACGAGGGTCTTTTTTTAAGTAAGAACCGTTTTGTAATGGAGTTAGAGAACCTTCATTTATGAACGAAAATTATATCACAAACTAAAACATGAATATTATTTCAGTTTTTAATATAAATAGGTAAACATTTGTCAAAGCCTTTGGTGAATTTAAGCAGGACGAAGTTGTTTGCATTTAGAAACCTGATCGTACTTCACAATCGGCTGACTTACTGATTGACGTTGTTCCAAAGCAGTATAATTACAAAACAGACAGAAGCATGAAACGCCGTAGTGAGAGTGTCTGAGGTTGAACGTACTTCATGTGACAAGATGCGCAGACACGATACGCAATCGGTTCTTACTTAAAAAATGCCGCTCGTACAAACTGGATTAAAATGTGAACACACCCGTCACGAATTTCCATATTCCGTAGGTCGCTAAATAAAACCATATACAGAGAAAACTAAATTTGTCTGACGGCTTGAGTTCAGTGTGTACGAGAGAGAAGGTCATCACCATACATCGCGTAGCAACGGTGACGCAAGTCGTGCAATCTGCCGCATTGTCAATATTTTACACCGGAAAATGTTCGCAGAGGTTTCTACAATAGGTCTATCTCTTTCTGACACATGTGTCTCTACACACTTCTCTCTCGCACACATTACACTAAAGCCGTCAGACAAATTTGGTTTTCCCTGTACGCAGAATTGAAGATGTACGTTTCGGCCATCTTAGTAGCCTTTCCCAAAGCAAAAATTATTTGATTTGTACCCATTTTTTGATTTACACTTTGAAAAAGGCCAACGAAGTGGCCGAAACCTTAGTAAATCGTCATCTCAACATCTGTTGTTTTATTTCGCGACCAGTGAAACACGAAAATTCACCAGCAAGATAATCACAAGAAAAGTTTTAGGTGTTGCAACGGTCATATCATGAATATGAAAAATTTTCATGGATCTAATTATACTAAGTGACATATAAACCCGAACACCCAGTTTAAATGGTTTTATTTTAATAAAATTTTGTATAAGTACTTAATGAAGCATAATAAGTAAATGATAAAAATGTCAAAATGATTGCACTGCTTTAAAGCCCTTTGACCTTTAATAATGTGTGGATGCACCCTGATGTGCTACGCATTCTCCAACGCGCCTAGGCATGCTTCTGATCAGGTGGTCAATGTCCTCCTGTGGTATCTCATTCCAGGCAACCACCAACTCCTCTCGAAGTGCTTCTAGAGTCTGAGGAGGACGTTGCAAATTGAGCAATCTCCTACCCATCATATCCCACACGTGCTCAATTGGGGATAAGTCGGGAGATCTTGGTGGCCATGGTAACAATGTGACATCATTATGTTGAAAGAAGTCTATTGTGACTCTTGCAACCTGTGGTCGGGCATTATCTTGTTGGAAAGTTGGATCTGCAAGGGTGTCAAGATAGGGTAAAAGATGGGGTTCTAGAACTTCGAGGATATAACGCTGCGCGTTCATTTTACCTCTGATGAAGATTAAAGGTGACCTGGAACCATAAGCTATAGCACCCCAAACCATAACTCCAACAGTGTGATGAACATGTCTTTCAACAAAAAACTGTGGATTCCTCCTTTCACCACGTCGCCTTCTAACCCTGGCACGACCATCGTGCATGACTAAACAAAATCGAGACTCGTCACTAAAGACTTTTCCATTCCTGATCCCAGAGTGACCGTTGTCTGCACCACTCAAGGCGATTACGTCGGTGTTCTCGAGTTAAAGGGAGGACCCAGTGTGGCCGGTATGAAAACAAGCCAAAACTTCTCATTCGTCGGTAAACACTTCGCATGCCAATAGGTCTTCCGTGTTTTGCAAACCATTCATTTGCAATGGACCTGGTAGCGGAGAAACGGTCCCTTAAGGCCAATAATCTTAGGCGGCGATCTTCACGGTCTGTTGTTTTACGGCGGCGTCCAGTGCCCCTTGCTCTTTGCGTACGGCCTTCTCGAAGCCATGCCTGACAACACCTAACCACAGTGTCTACACTTCTTTGCACTCTAACTGCAATTGCCCGAAAAGAAAGTCCAGCTTCCCGAAGTCCCACTATACGGCCCCAATCAAACTCACTAAGTTGACGAAATCGAACGGGTCTCCGTACTCTAGGCATCGTAACCGATCGTAAAGGATGTCAAGAACCAAAATCCGCCAAGGTTGATTCTTTACTGCGGCTGAAATATTCATTTTTAGAGCGTTAGTGAATTAAAAAAAAGCAGTATAAAAACCGGAATGTCCAACTGATAAGGCTGAAAATTTGTTCACTTGTTATTTACAGTAAGATACATACATTCACCAACTTTTATTAAAATAAAACCATTTAAACTGGGTGTTCGGATTTATATGTCACTTAGTATATTTTCAATTCTTTTATTGTTTTTTTTTTTTGTTTAACCAGTATAAATTTTCTTTTCACAATAATCAAACGCATTGAAACGCAACAAGCATTTGAATCATTTCATTTCATCTTACTAATAATTGAAGCCACATGCCGCAAAGCTTTCTATTACACAATAAATCACAAATACTAAATGTATTCTAACACAGACAGTGCTTTCCAAAATGATGTGATTATTTTTTGAACAGGTCAGGATAGCAAGCTGAAGTTCAGAATGATGAAATTGATGCATTAACACTATATTTTAACGTGAAAGTTTCCGAAATTCATATTATGTTTTTAAGCTGTTATATGACAAGTCCACAGCGTGCCATAGATGTCTGTACTTTCTCGGATAAGGTATTTTTGGAAAAAAACGAGTCATCTTCAGTAACTTTCAGCACTTTGAATTTGACCTGGACCTTCACCTTCAAGGTAAATTCATGGTGAACTTTATTTTTACAAACAGAAACCCCTATTTTTATGCTGGAAATTAAAAAAAAAAGAAAATTTTACGTTGAATCACAATCAAAGTCCAAGGTCAGGATGGCTACTAAAGGTCAAACAAAGAACAAATTTGTGCTGCTATAAAAACCTCCATAAACCTCACAGGATAAGTAATGGAAATCCTTTTCAAGAAAGAAACTTTATATTCCAGGGTTATAAAGTACTCGTAAGAAGCTTGAAAATGAGCTATCATATGAACCCTAAACCAATGTTCTAAGATTCGACCCATACGCAATTTAATTTGTACACTTTCAACTACCACTTTTACTTGGAATTCATACATTAATTCAATCATGTACAATTCCATGTTGCTAACTCAACCTGTTCAAAAAATAAGTGAAAAGCATCGGCATTTCAGAATTTTCAGCTGGCAGCAATCAAGTTTAATAAAGAACATGTGCGGTTTCAATCATGACCGTATAAACTTGAACAAAATGACGTGCAACTAACAACCACAGGATCAATTTCAAACGCTACTGTAAAACGTTCATATCCAATTTCACGATACCACAAACGAGCATCGGACGAGGGTTGTTTCAAAAATAAGGTTCCCACATTTTTTTCACGGACAAGGAATTTTTTATTTGGAAAAACGGATTCACTATTGGGAACGTTGATCTTTAAGCTATTTTTCTCCATAGTCGCCATTTTTTCTACGCATTTTTTTAGATGCTTGACTTGACCGCCTCTGTGCTCCTTCAATCTCGAAAACGCTATGACAGGGCTACGTGCTCCAAAATAACGTAATACCCCAAATTGAACAAATGCGCTTAAACAATATTGAAAGTGTCTTCCAACAAACAATATTTCAGTTTTAAAATGGACGTTGTAGTAGTCCAGGTCTATCGCCGATTGAAACCTCATGAAGAAAAAGCTCCGTTCGATTCCCGCAAGAATTATTACAGAATTGGAACCAGTCTCCAAGAAATTTGGAATAGTTTTACGCCAAACATTAGTTGACACTATGTCAAGAAGGAGTAATCAGTCGAAAAGACGATGTTACGCAGTGGTGATCTGATGAGCCGACAAACATGACGCTGTTGCCAGATCTCGTCTAGGATCACGCACGGCAAGCAAAGAGTATTGGGAACATTATTTTTGAGACAACCTCGTACAACAGGTATCGACAAAACACGAAATAACCTCATTCAACCTGCTTGATGTTCGACGAGCGTGAGCAACTACAAAGCAGTTCTATGCTGCAGATGAATCCTCTTTGGAAGCGATCGATGTAGCAGCGGAGGATCGCCTAGCGCCCAACGAACTAGTAGAGCCGTTCGTGCTTAGAAGTCCCGTACTCCAGGTGCGGTGGTGTCCCCATCCTGCTACAGTTACAGGGCGCTCGTGCACGTAAGGACTGGCTGGAACGGAATGAGCCCCGCTCACGTGATCCAAAGAGTCGGTGGACGAGCTACCCGGTTGAGGCAATGTCACCTTAGGAAGGAAGTGAAGGTAGCGCGCAGCGCAAGTCTCCCTGTACAGCTCCTCTTCAAGTTGCTGCGTTGCCAAAGCGAAAATCAGTTTGGTTAATTGCGTGGAGCGCTAGTGGTTTCGGTTTCGGGCCGAATTTCGGTTTAGTTTTGGTTTCAGCAGAAAATATGCCGAAAGTACAACCGTTTTCGGGTATCTTCTGAAGTTTTAGGACTGATATTTTGACACCTACCCTCAATTATTTCCTTATTTGTATCTTTTGTGATTTTGTATTGCTAAGTACACTCAGTTGCTAACGTAACACAAACTTACGTCAAATCCGGAAAGTCATACCTATTAATTAAAACTCCACTTATTTCTGTTAGTTAAGTTAGCTAAGTTTTTCTATGACATACGATGACACTGACTTATGCTAAACGTTCTTGCTGGTATCCATTAGTATTCAGTTCAGTTAGTCGAATTTTATTGTAAACTCAAATAGCTTCACAAAGATTGAAGATAGGTATAAACTTTATTATACAAAACTTCATGGAAAATCAAAAAAATTCAAAAAAATGGGGCTTTCCTTTAAAAGTCTAAAGTGTAACGCAATATCTTATTTTTGGATCACCCTGCATTGTACGGATATAAATTAAAAGACGTCCCCCTAGAAATCAAAATTGACGTGTTCGAGCGTTTTTCCCAAAATATACCAGGAAAGTCACAAATGGGGGTGCGACATTTTCGTTGGGCCACCCTATATAAGATAAATCAAAATGAGGTTTTATTACACAAATTTTTCAACGCTCTGTAAGGTGATATCGCAGGCATTCAGAATGCAACGCTTTCCATTATCAAGAACCACATATTTTCTATAATTTGTCTTTCACTCATGTCAAAGTGTGAATATGTGTCAAACTTTTAAAATCAAATAAACTTTTGATCTTCCTTCCGTAACATTTTTATTTTCTGTTCGAATTCGTCTTCTAAAACGTTTATGTACAGGGTCGCCAACTAAGAATGCGAGGTACTTTATATGTGAACCTATCCATCGTAGAGGCAAACAGTTGACACTAAAACGGCCAAGAGAAAAATCTGGTAAATGTTTTCAAGTTTCTAGAATGGCCGCTAGGGGGCGTAACTGTAATCTTGAATCTAAAAAAGTGATGTGTTTTCCTTAAACCTCTACGATTTATATGTTCCCAGATTCAGTACCTCGCATTCTTAGTTTGGTCACCCTGTACATAAGTCTATTTTGTTTTTAAACAAAGCTGATGAAAAAGAAAACTATTGTCTTGATTTTAGAACACGCGGTACAATAACCAAAGGTTAGAAACTCAGGTGGAAGACTTGTTTTGTTTCTTAAGCGAGAATAGTAATTACTGTTGTGTTAGTTCAACTTTTTCTCAATAATATTTGTCATACAGACATTAAACGTAAAGAAAGACCTGATCTCCCGTATCAAATAGGAGACGGATTTTAGAACTTCGAGATTATCAATTTAACAAATAATTGCTTCTATAAGAAGACTATATTCGTCAATAAGTTCCAGTTTCGGCCGAAACTAAACCTGAGACCGAAATTACGGTTTTGGTCAAAAAACTAGTTTCGGTCGGACACTATAAAGCGTGAATTTAAAAATCCATGCGTTTATGTTTTTTGTCATAAAAGCTGTAAATATAATATTGTCCTGATTAATAGAGCAAAAAGGAAGACAATTTATAACCTCTATAAAAAGAGGTCATTCACTATGATACACATTAGGCCCTGATACATAAGCACGATACGATCAAGAAGATCAAAGAGAAAACCAAATTTCATAACAAATACAGATCTTATAAAGAACCTCGCTACTATCAGGAATTCTGTAAATTAAGGAAACAGTCAAACATATGATAGCCAGGGATTTCAGAGACTATGTGAAAAACATTGAAGAAGAAATAGTTTTAAACAGCAAAAATTTTTGGAAATATGTTGCCAGCAAAAAGAAAAATCACGAATCTATACCCAGCACAGTTTACCATAAAGATAAAATTGCTCGTGATGGTGAAAATGTGTGCAATTTATTCTCGGAATGTTTTGTTGAACGTAAAAAGTTAGTTCCTCTAAAAGTGAATGGAAATCTTAGTATTTCATACGCATTGCCTTTAGAGACAGTCAAAAATCTCATTTGTAATATTGACGAGAACAAAGGTTCAGGACCCGACAACATCCCTCCCATTTTCATTAAAAGATGTTCGGAAAGTATATGTGTATGGTATATCTGAAGTCACTTGAAATAGCATAAAATCCTTTGGTCGGCGCGTCCTTTGTAATTTCATGACGTATCATAGGCGTGCGGATTTACAGGAGGCAAAACACAATATTCATTTTCTTTTTCAATAATATGCCTAGAACACTGCTTCCATAGGTCTGTGGCAGCAATATGAGATACTGCATCTCTTATTGTGGCCAATAGCGATTCACTTAATTGAGGGGTCTGATTATGTTTTCTTACTTTTTTTTTAAAGCAGCTCAGACCAACTCAATCGGGTTAAAAATGCAGTAATAGGGAGGTAGACGTAATACTTCATGGCCATTTTGCTGAAGCAGATTGTCAACAACATACTCTTTTTCAAATTTTTGTCTTTTAATAAGATCCAATTATATGGCTTTGGTTGATTTAAGTGGTATTTCCATTCCCTTATCCTTCATAAAATCAATAATGTCTTGTTTTTTTGTGCCTGTATTCGGAATTTTGTTTTTCTGTCGGGAATGGTATGGCGCATTGTGCATAATAATCACTGAATTTGGGGAAATGTTTGGTATTAACTGCTGCTCTATCCACTTTTCAAATAAGTCGGAGGTCATGTTCTCATGATAGTCGGCACATGATTCTTTGATATTTTTGGCAGATAACAGCAAGGCATTAGGTATAAATCCATTTTCACTGCCAGCATGGAGAATAATGATTCGTTTTCCACGGTTGCATGGTGCATTTAAAATGCACTTGTTGCTGTCGTCAACCCAGCCGTACTGCACAACATCATGGGTATCATACCACGTTTCATCCATGTAAATCAGATTTCTTTTCTGCTCTCTATAGCTTTTAACTTTGTGCAAAAATTCTTGGCGCAATTCAACGATTCGAGACGACTCCATAATCACCATTCTTTTATCTAATTTTTTGTATTGAAAACCACACAGTTTTACAATACAGTGCAGTGAGTCTAAGCATTTGTAATTATAAAAATCTTCAGGATAATCTTTTAATTTATCCCGTATCATTTCCAACGTGGGCACCAAATTTTCTTTATAAAATCCGTATACGACGAATATCTTCCTGAAAACCCACGTCTATTCTTTTTAATTTTTGCCCTATGCGCTTTCTGTGGAAGGAATGGTTGACTACATCTCCCCTTTTTATAACCCGATAAATGGTAGACCGACTGATTTTTGTCAGGATACAAATTCTGCTTAAAATTTGATTTTGCGAGGAATCTGGATTTTCGTTTTTCAGACAATCATACATATTTAGGATTACTCTTTGGGTCTGTTCCTCTAAATCTTTATGAAAGAATTCTGCCTGCACAGGTTCATCAACCATCTCCTCGTGGCTTGGAGCATTTTCCCAAGGTCTCCAAAGAGCCATATTTAGGACTCACAAGAACAATCAACACAACAATTAAATCAACAAGTAAACTGAGTATTCAAAAGTCAAAAACACACAAACTAATAAAATCTATGAAAAAACACGGACAGACTAAAGAAAACACGTTTAGTCACCGCTACACGGCACTGGCTAAACTGTTTCAATTTTCAGTAGCCACCTGCACTTGTTCAGAGCTCTGAAATACACGCTTTCTCATTGGCTATGTCCACGCATAGGCATGCTTTACTCCACGTGGACCGGTGATACTGCCTTTGATCTTATACGGGGGATATTTGCTGCGAAATTTGGCGATTTTTGCAGCAACAGAAGAGCGTGTTAAATATAGATATATAAAACGCACCCGGTATTTCACAGTGTTTCAAGTGACTTCAGATAAAGTATACCTTTACAGATTATATTTAACGCAAGTCTAAAACTAAAATATTTTCCTACTAAATGGAAGGTTGCACATATACTTCCGATATTCAAAAATGGAGATAAACACCTGGTAACTAATCACAGACCTATCAGTGGTCTGTGGCTTGCTGAGACTGGTGTCGACGATGCACTATGTCATTGGATATGGTCTTACATTACCAATCGTGAGCAAATTGTAGCTATCAACGGTTGCCAGTTATGGTTACGGCTGGCGTCCCACAAGGAAGTCACCTAGGTCCTTTATTATTTATAATTTTTATCAACAACTTAAAGAAATCCTTTAAATATGCAAATTGTCTATTATACGCGGATGACTTAAAAATATTCCATACAGTCAGAGACATTAATGACTGTAAAGAAATCCAAAGTGATATAGATACTTTTGTCAATTTTTGTGACAATAATGATTTGTTTCTGAATGCTGATAAATGTACTTTTATTAGACTCCCGGAACAAATCTCTCACAGAATACGAGGGATGTCTTTTAAGTTAAGTATAATCTTAACCTCAAACTTAAATTCAAAGTTTCACAACAATACGTGCAGTGTTCTCACTACAGTGAATTTTGAAGTGTCACCAAGTCGTTAGAAAAATGGAACTCAACCGAGAACATTTTTGCGCCATAATTTATTACAACTTTCAGAGACAATTATCGCAACAAGAATGCCTTGCTGAGTTACTGTCTGTTTTCGACAACGTAGCGCCACATCAGTCGACGATTTCCCGTTGGTATGGAGAATTCAAACGATGACGGGTGAGTCTTAGCGACGATCCCAGGGTGGATGCACCAAAAACGGTAGTCACCCAGGAAAACGTCGATGCTGTGCGCAAACTCATCATTGAAGATAGACATGTGACATATCGCGAGATTGAGGCGTCCTTGAAGATCTCAAAGACCTCAATTCAAAAAAATTTACATGAAGAACTAGGAGTAAGAAAATTAGTTTCTCGTTGGATACCCCACCTGTTGACTGAAGAGCAGAAAGCAGCCAGGGTTAATTGGTGTCAAAAAACGCTT